GAGCAAGACAGAACCAAGCGGACTCGATAAGCAGGGCAGGATGGAAAGGTGACACATTGCGAGTGGCTGTCACGGCGGCGACGCGACAACCCCCTGTCCGTTTTTTTTTTTTTTTTTTTTTTTTTTTTTTTTGACGTGAAGGTTGGTATGGGACCGAGCTCGGCCCGTTCTGTCTGAGGAATGCTGGATGCTTTAATTAAAACTAAACCAGGCAGAAAAACGTCCCTCCCCGGATCCCGGATCGGCACGAGTCTCGCGCCAGACGCTGCTTGTTACGGCGAGCTTGCCAGGTTGCGCCACCTGCCGTCCCCCGGGGCAAGGCCGCTTGGACTTGGGCCGGGCCCCACGCCAAATTGGCTCTTTCGCTTCACCTGCGATGCACTCTCTCCCTCTCTCTCTCTCTCTCTCTCTCTCTCTTAAATGTATGCACTTTTGTGTTGACGGGTCATCAGGCGGGAAGCGGCAGTGTGACAAGAAAACTCACGTGAAAATATGCCGATGCCGCACGGTACTCTGGTTAGGTTAGATTTGTGTTTTTTTTTTTGTTTTTTTTTTTGACAGTGCAGTGTTCACTCGTTCTGACCGTAAAAACGGACGGCAGATACGCCGGTGGTCTGCGATGTGGTGTACGGTCCGGCGTTGCAGATGGGGCACCGGTTGGATTGCGGCGAGATGGAGGGAGGGAGGGAGGGAGGGGGGGGGGAGGTACAAGTTACGACCGGACCAACTTTCGTTGGGCCCTCGGCACACCACACGCGCACGGCGGCGCACGGTCGGATACTGAGGCTATTACTACTTGGATTGGGTCGAATAAGTTGGCATACACGGGCGGTGTCGACTGGCAAACAAAGCGGCAGGCTGTCCTCCCACACTGTGGGAAAAAATGATTCATTGACTTTGCTAAACCTCAGTATCGTTGCAAAGGTTTTGGGCACTGCCTCACGTCAACCTTAACGAACATAGGTGCGGCCGTTCTGGCGCAACAGTGTACTAGTCGTTGCTCCAGCGTGGTGCTGGTGGAATTGGCGCGCGTGGCAGTACAGTTCGACCGGGTAGCAAGCGACCGGCCGGTCTATTTTTATTTCAGTTTGATTATTTCGTTCGGACGGGCAGCTTACCAAAGTGAGCGCCCTATTTGCGTTCCATCACGGAAAACCAACACGACACTTTGGTCGCGTTGTTTGCGATTCGAAATGTGGCGCGAAGCGTTTCCCCGCGTGGCACTTCACCATCATTCTCCGAGGCCGGTCCGGCCGCAGTGTGGGACAGCACAGCCGAGAGTGGAGTGTGTGTGTGTAAATTCAAGCCGTTTACTGTAAATACGCTCGAGTTTTACGGCGTCGTACACCGCCACTTGTACAAAGTGGGGTCACCGACGACCCCCTCCTCTCGATTCCCTTCTGGGTGCTTTCAGCGGGACGACCCACTGCGCTGTAAATCTGATCGAAAGAAAAAGAAACTGCCCGCAAAAGGCCCTTATTCTCGTGTGTGTTATTTTGCTTAAAAGAACAAACAGCAGGGATGGCGTCGTTCGAGAGAGAGAGAGAGGGGGGTGGGGGGGAGGGAGAGAGAGATGGCTGCGGCCGACGAGCAAGAGAGCAGCCGAAAACCTCGGCTGCCTGGATTACGGCTAAAAGTGAAAGGGAACAGCAAAGTTTGGTTTTTGTTTGGCTCGCTGCAAGTTTGGCGGCGAATATGCCCGCAGATTGTGTTCGGCTCCCCTCCGGCCTCGGCGCCGATGCTTCGCCACACATCATTCCCACACTCGCTCCGCGTTCGGCTTTTTCCCCTTTGGCTTCGTTGTTTGTTTCTGACGGGGTACTTGGCCCGGTTTGTCACTGTCACCTGGTGCCTTATCATGACGGGCCCTCCTGGAATAACCGGCCCGCCGATGGGGGACTGGTCCTTGAAGAGCTCCTTGAAGAGGTCCTTGAAGGGGTCCTGGAGGAGGTTAAGGAGGGCTCACAGCCTCCGGCGCTCATTTTTTTCCATCCTTATATACGTTGCGATGGGGGAGGTGAGGGTGGAGCGCCCAGTGGGACAGAAGACCGGTGGAGGCGGCCGAAAATTCTAGACGCATTTTGAGCTCCAGAGTCGCTAAATGGCACTCAAACTGGAGCTCAAAATGCGTCTAGAACTTCGGCCGCTGGCGCCGGTGTTCTGGCAAATCCACTGTGGAGTGTCTCTTGGTCGGGAGAGGGTGAGAATTTCTCGAGTGGGGAAGGAGCACCTTCTGGAAGCGAAGTGCGAGAAAGGGGTGCGGAAATAAGAACTCGTGGCTTTCCCCTCGCTTGTCCTGCCCGCCGACCAGAAGGACCTTTAAGTGCGGGAGGGATTCCCCTATTCATCCTGCGTCCTCCCCCCCCCCCCCCCCGCACGGTAACGAATGGCAAGGGCCGCGCGGTCAACCCTACCTGCCAATAAGCAAAGGCAAGAAAATGGGAAACGTCCCGAGACACAAAGGCGCTGCCGTGTGTGTATGTGTGTGTGTGTGTGTGTGTGCCCATACTGTTGTTTAACCCACCCTTTTCCCCACGGCTTCTCCACGGTCTGCATACTGTTTAAACACGTCCCCCACCGCGATATCTGACGGCAGGCCCGGCAGGCCCAGCAGCAAGGCCCGCCCAATGTCTATAAATCGCCTCCGGCCTTTCCCACGCCACGTAAATCAAGACGCAGGCGAGCCTGTCGCTCCGTCTCCCTCGCACCTGGACGGGGCGCCCCGCGAGCGCGAGAGAGACGGAGCGACGAAAACGACCCTCGGAGTCAGACTGCAGCGCGCCAGAGAAACGCCGGCCGCGGTGACGAAGTGCGACGCAGGCTGGCTGTCGTCGCGCCCGCACCTGGACGGGGCGCCCCGCGAGCGCGAGAGACGGACGGAGCGACGAAAACGACCCTCGGAGTCAGTCTGCAGCGCGCCAGAGAAACGCCGGCCGCGGTGACGAAGTGCGCACGGCAGGCTGGCTGTCGTGAGGGCGGCCCGGGCCCAGGCACAGTAGTGGCGCACAGTGGGCCAGAAGGCCGGCGGAGGCGGCCAAAACTGTAGGCACGTTTTGAGCTCCACAGTCACTAAACAGGACTCGAACCGTGCGTGTGACCCCACCGATGGATTCCTCGCACGGAGAGTAATCCATTGGTGGGGTCACACGCTCGGTTCGAGTCCCATTTAGCGACTCTGGAGCTCGAAAACGCGTCTAATATTTTGACCACCTCCACCGGTCTTCTGGCCTACTGTGAGTCGAGAGGCGGCCCCCCTGCAAGGTGGCTAGACCCCTCGAAGGAGGCTACTCCCTTCTTTTTCTTTTATCATACATTTTTGTTCCTCGGAGGGAAAAAGGAAAGGGGGTGATATGAAGTGTAGCGCTGGAGGGGGAAAACCAGGTCGACCATAGGGTGAATTGGGATGATTGCAGTGGCGTGTGAGGGGGAGGGGGAGGGGGCGGCAGCTGCTACGCCACTGGAAGAGCAATCGGGCCTGGTGTGATCCCAGAGGCCGCCGCTCCTGAAACATTAAACAGCGGGACAACGCCGCCACCATGTCGCCGAGGCTGACAACAACTCGGACCCTGGTGTCGCACATGGCAAGACACGCGTCGGACGGACGTCGAACAGACGGACAGACAGACAGACAGACAGACAGACCGACAGACAGACCGATGAAGGCGTGTGGGACTCATTAGAGCGGTCCTTACATAGTAACCCGTCATCCAGAACGGGGCGCCATAAATCGGCGAGCCGACGCACCTGCAGCCCGCCGCTACACTGCGAACCGGCCGCCCACGCCCACCAGTGCAGTGGCCGCGCGCGCGCGGGGGAAGAATGGAAATGAAGGTCAAGGAGCTTGCGTGGCCGTCGGCGATAGAACGCGCGCGCGCAAACAAGAACAAGTGAAAGAGAACCGTGGAAGGGAGGCGAAAGAGTGCGAGGATAGACAATGCGCCGTTGCTGTAGTCCTTTTGTTGTTGTTGTTGTTGTTGTTGTTGTTGTCAAGGCGTGGCCACGCACTGCCCGGCCCGGCTCGGCCGTCGTGGTGCGAGGCTTTCTCGCTGGGGGAGCTGGTGGAACGGCACACTGTTGTAGCGTGACGTGGCGAAGCGTGGCGGAAAGACCATTACCGTCGGTATCTTCCTTGCAGTCACGTCCCGCGCCCCGCCCCTCGCAGTGTGGCATTCCGTTCGGCATTGTGCGTCTCGCGGACTGATGCCGAGAGTCGTCGCTCCGTCTCTCTCGCACCTACACGGCACGCCCCGTGAGTGCGAGAGAGACGGAGCGACGCCTTTCACAGCCTTGTGTACAGTGCAGTGGCCGCGGAGGCGCGGACGGCCGATGGGGCATCAAGATGGCGGCGCGCAACCGTGGGGCTGCTGTACTACTCGTGACTACGCCGTAAGGGTACTCACTGCAGTGACGCTTGGAGTGCCCATACGACGTGCTTCGGAGTTAGCACACCCTATTCTTGCGCTAGGAGAATCTAGACGACATGTACTACGAAAAAAAATAAGGATACCCCAAAATATTTTTTCTCTTGAATTTGTCTCTCTCTCTCACTGCGCGGTGCGGTGATGAGCGAGAGAGTCACCGCGAGAACTAACTCCCTGTCACACTGACCCACTGCTGCGAATAACACCGCCCTCGAAAAGTGAGTTGCCGCGACAGCCCGTACGTGTGAAATATCACTCACACTCGCACACACACACACACACACAGAGGCACGCGCACACTGACACACCACACGCGCGCGCCCCTCTGACGCGCTCGTGCGTGCACGACCGTATTTTGTTCTCGTTTTTGGATCCGACCTCCCACACAGGGGGGCACGCACGCTACCCCCACACAGACAAAAAGACACCCCCACCCCCCGCCCCCACCCCATCCTCGCAGTTTTGCGAATATTTTAATTATTCATCCTTTTGTTCTCACCTCACCGACCTGTTTACCATACCTGCGGTGCGAAAAAACAAAACAAAAAAAAAACACTAAATTGATTTGTGTGTTTTCAGGACGTCATGATCTCCACGTACTCCACCCTGGACCGGGGGTCGACCAACTTCCGGATACGCAGGAACGCCCTCATCGCCGCCATGTACACGGGGGTGAGTGTCAACAGGAAAGACGGTGCCATTTCATCGGTAAATATGTGGGGGGTAGGTCAGTGCACACTTCCCATACACGACCGTGATTTTTGCCGTCCGATGACACGTCTTGATCCCGGTTCTCCTCGATCTCGTCCATCATCATCCTCCTCGCGTTCTCTGCTTTTACATGCATGCCCCTCCCCCTTCCCCTCCGCTTTCGGTCCGAGGGCCCCCCCATAATTTATCGGGGCGTATCCTCGCATTGCAATGGGGCCATTATTTTGCCGTGCGACCAAGAGGCCGCCGCCCCTCCCTTCCTCCTCTCGCCGCCCAACGCCGTGCTCTCTGGTGTCCCGCCGCCGTCATGGTGGTCGTCGTGGTGGTGGTGGTGGTGGTGGTCGTGGTCGTGGTGGTCGTGGTCGTGGTGGTGGTCGTGATGGTGGTGGTGGTGCTGCTGCTGCCGGCGGTGGTGTCGTCGTTACAGGCTTATTCCGATCAAACTCGCCGAGCAAAAACCTCCCGGTAATGATGCTCATTCCCATTGTCTTTGCCCGGAAAGAAGAGAAGCGCGGAGCAGCAACAACAACAAGCGAAACAACATCGCGGAAAACAACAACAACAAACGCGACTACAATAAGAGTCCGCAGTGCGAGAGAGACGGAGCGACCTCTGCCCATCAGTAATTGGACTGCATTGTCCGTCGCAATGACTCTCGGCAGCCACGCAGCCACGGCAGCCCAGTGCACTATTTGAAAACAAAGGTTTGAAAAGTGTAAGGCAGTGGGAAAAAATAAGTTACCTGTTTCTCTTCTAGTCTTTTTTCTTTTTCAAAGTTCAGAACAACTTTTACAAACAGAAAAAAAGGCAGCCAAAAACATTCCCCCTGCTGAGAGAGAGAGAGAGAGAGAGAGAGAGAGAGAGAGAGAGAGAGAGAGAGAGAGAGAGAGAGAGAGAGTAGAGCGTGTGTGTGCGTGCGGGTCATTAGGCCCGCACGTGGCCGCAAACCCGCCACCAGCAATATGATCCCCATCTGCGACGAGGCTGGGCGAGGCTGGGTTAGTCTGGGTGAATCCCGGCCAAGCCAAGGCGCGCTGGCCGTGCTGGCCGTGATCAAGGAGCACGCCAATTAGGACCCAAGTGAGGAGGCGGCGTGGCAACTTTTAGGAGGCTCCTTGCGCTGAGCGAGGTGCTGAGCGCCTGTCATCCCCGGCATAGGCCAGCCCGCCGAACGCGCGCGCGCGTCGGCCGTGGAAGTGGCCTACCTGCCAGGCGCTCCAAGTCGCCCGAAGACGCTCGGGGCGGCCCGAAGTGGCCGGGAGGATGCCCGGTGCGGCGCTGCGTTCTGCGTTGACGACTGCTCGTTGGGGCGCGGCAGTGTGGCAGCTGCGCGCCGGCCGGACCGCCGACTGGCCAATCCCCGGTCGCCCTTTTTACGCGCCTCGGCTCGGCTGGGCCGCACTGGAGTGGCGGATGAGGCGAGGGAAAGAAATGAAGGAGCCCCGCGCGTCGGGAAGCAAAGGACGCCGGCCGGGCGATACTGGGCGAAGCGGAGCGGAGCAAAGTAGAGGCTGCTTGATTGATTTCGGGGCGCTGAATGTGCTCATCGCCGTCTCCATGGCGACAAGGCGGCACAAGGCGTGAGGCGCGTGCAGCGGGCCGGATCATCCCCGCCCCGCCCCGCCCCGCCCCGCCCCGCCCCGTTGCTCAAACTCGGCCAAGTATAATAACCACGGACGGGGCTTGAATGGCGCGGCTGGGCGCGGCTGCGCACCCATCCCGAGAGAGTCGTTTTCGTCGCTCTGTCTCTCTCGCTCCCACACGGGACGCCCCGCGAGCGCGAGCGAGACAGAGCGACGAAAACGACTCTCGGAATGGGTCTGGTGGGCGCGACGCCATCACTGGGATGATCGAACGCCATCAGTGTTCGCCATGGCGGGGCAAATCGACGGCAGTGAGTTAATGCAGGTGGACCTGCCTCCGTCTCTCTCGCACTCGCGGCGGAGCGAGAGAGACGGAGTGAGTGGCGAGGGATCGCTGGACGGCGGCCAGCGGGCTGTGTCACCCCGCCGTCGTCGTCGTCACCCTGTTGCTGCCGCGAGTATGGCCTTACCAGTGCTCGCGTGAAAAAAAATCCCCATCTTTTTTTTTAAGTTTTGGACAGAGAACCAGGAACACCGTTTTTGCCGTGCGGGCCGTCCGGACCGCTCTGCCCAGGCAAAGGGTCAAAAGAGTTCGGGGTCGGCGCTGTTGCGGCGCAACGGCTGCGTGGCCTCGGCTGGCCTCGGCTCGGCCGCACATTTGCCAGAAGGGACGCAGGGACGGTCGTTCTGGTGGAAGGCGGTGCCGGCGGTGCCGGGGAAGGACAAGCAGTACCCCAAATGCACGCCGCCAGGCCGGCCAGGCCAGCCAGCAGACTGAATCCGAGAGTCGTCGCTCTGTCTCTCTCGCACTCACGCGGCGTCCGGTGCCGGTGCGAGAGAGACAGCGACGGAAAGGACTCTCGGAATCGGTGTGCGGAGTGCGGAGGCCGGCCGCCGGGGCAGAAGGTCCCTCCTTTACCCTGTCCCGTGGTCCCCGCCCCGTGGTCTTTGCCGGCCGGGGCCCGCCCCCACCGCCACACTCCTCGGCTAACCGTAGGTTGGCCAGGCTGCCAACCCAAAAAATAAACCTAGAAAGAAAATTTGAAAATATTGCCGACTTTGGTTGTTTACAAGGCCACATTCCAATAGTGTTTTTGTCGCTCTCTTTTTTTTAGACCTCCTTCTTTTGTGTCTCCCGGCGAACAACAAACTAGCTCCGTGTCGGAGGAGAGGACCCGGGATGAAGGTGGCTTTGTGGGAGTGAGAGAGAGAGAGAGACACGGACACGCAGACAGAGAGGGAGACAAGATAGACGAGCTAAAGGACTGGCTGGTAGTCCAACTGCCCAGACTGAATCCTAAGCGTGCGGCACTCTCCAACAAACAGACGAACAGACAGACAGACAGACAGACAGACAGACAGACAGACCGGCCGACACGGGGCGGGGATGTCTGAGGCACTGTGCCGCGCGCGCGGTGCGTAGTTCGTAGTGTGGTGTATCAATTTGCTGTCATTGTGTGTGTCTGTCAGGTACAAAGTCAGCGGAGCGTACACTCGCAAAGTAGTCCGGATCTATCTGCGGAGCTAATGTGTCGACGTGACGACGTACTCCACGACGAGCACACTGTCAAACCAAATGTGGGGAACTCCGCGGGGAAACCGTGGAGTTCTCCGCACTTGCTTTGACGGTCCAAGCCCCCCGCCCCGTGGTCGCACGTGCCGCCGCAAACCAACGAAAAGGACTATTTTTTTGTGGTTGTTTTCGTTTTTTGAATTGCTAATTTGCCTGTTCTGTGTTCCAGGGCATGTCCATAGTGGTGGCCATATTCTGCGGCTGGCGGCTGGTGGTGAACGCCCGGCAGAAAGACGCCCTTCAGGACGTCTACTGGGGTGAGTCGTCCTTTTTTTTTCATCCTTTCTGTTTTTTTTTTTTTGAGGCAGCCATTTTTATTTTCTCCTTTGCCAGGCTTTTTGTTGGATGTGTTTTTTTTTTCGTACTTGTTTTTTTAGCCGGCGGCGGCGCGTGTGTATTTGCCTGGCTAAACACACCGTCATCGTCATCCCGGTTTTTCCTGTGGTGGGGCGGGGCGGGGCGGGGCGGGGCGGGGCACGCCGCACGCACGGCACGCGTCGCGATGTCACGAACTTTCAGCCCGACCTTGCCCTCTCCCTTTGTGATCCCGCTTAATCCACCCTCCCCTGTTTAACTGTTTACCTCCACTTTAAAACAGGGACAGCATAAAAAAGGACGAGGCAGCGACGCCATTCGCCGCCGTTTACATTACCGCTCCCGCGGACCTGCACACAGACTGGTTCCGAGAGTCGTTCTCGTCGCGCTGTCTCTCTCGCACCTAAACGGGACGCCCCACGAGTGCGAGAGAGACAGCGCGACGAGAACGACTCTCGGACACCGCTTGCTTCGTGTCCGCACTCCTCCCCTTCTTTAACCAACCGAGCCAAACACTCCGGGGCTTATTTGTTCCCGTTTTGTTTCTGTGTTTGTGCGCGCGCGTGTGTGTGTGTCGGCGTGCTCGCGTGTGTGTTGGTGAGCCTTGTCTTACTTTCCTCCTAGTGTATGGAAATTCTGAGAGCAGCGAAAGCGCTCGCCTTGCCGCTCGTGTTACCTGGCGCGGAACGCCACTGCAAAAGGCACGAGGGAAGACTGCCCCCGCTCTACAAAGTGCGCACTCAGTATGCATCTGCAGATGCATACTGAGCACACACAACTACAGATGTATATGTCATGGGTGTGAACTCATCCAAGTATGCATCTGTAGACAACGCGTCCAGGGTTTTGACCGCCTACTCTGCTCTTCTGGCCAGTCCACTGTGCGACGCCCTGCTTACAGGTGCGCACAGTGTGCCATGCCCGCGGCGTTGGTGGCCGTTACCGCCGCTACCAACGTTACCGTGCCGACGTGACAAACGGGCGCTCTGCTCGCTAGTGCGCTGCTAGTGCTCGGCTGTTATTTCATACCAGTGTGCTTAGCGCCGCCGCGGCTTGCCCGCCTTCCGTACTTAGTGGCATTTTTTTTTTTTTTTTTTTGAATTCTTGGAAAAATATTTACGAAATTGGAGGATGCTCGCTTGGACGCCCCCCTTGCTTATTACTTCCGGTGTTTGTGAACTCGCTTTGTTTTGTTCCAGGCGTCCAGATCTCGTACCTCGCTAACCTGGGCTGCCAGCTCGCCAGCGTGTTCTTCAGCACCATTCTGCTGGCCGCCGTCAACAAGGTGCGCCTTTACAGATTTCCCCAGCGATCTCTCTCTCCCTCTTTTCTTCTTTCTTCTTCCATTTCGCCCCGTGTTTTTTATTCGTTAGCCTTCCCCTCCCTTTGTCTCTTTTGTTCCGTCTCTTTTTCGTTTCGTTGACCGCTTGAGGTGTGTGTGCGTGTGAGAGAGAGACAGTCAGTAATGTGTGTATGCCTGGTGACAGAGATTTTTGTGTGTGTGTGTGTGTGTGTGTGTGTGTGAGTGACGCAGGCAGAGTGTGTGCGAGAGAGACGGAAGGCTCCTCCTCCTCGGCCGGCCGGGCACTAATGAGCTCGCCGGATGTCCGCACACGCTCGTCGCCCTCCTTTTTCGGACCCCTCCTTTCCCGTCCCGAAATCTATCCTCGGTCCTAATGGAGTAAGCTGATTGGCGAAGCCGGCCGGGCTCGAAGTACGCTGGAACCACCCTGGAGCCATGCTGGAACTACCCTGGAACCACCCTGGAACTACACTAGAACCACGCTGGAACTAAACTGGAGCCACGCTGGAACTGCACTGGAGCCACGCTCGATACACGCTGGAGGCACGCTGGAACCACACTGGACCGACGCTGGCGCCGAAAAGATTCCGCGAAAAATGAAATGGTGTGGAATTAGCGGTCCGGGCGGAAACGAAAGGGACGGAAGGGACGGACGGGGCTAACGCGATGAGCGGAGCGGACCCAACGGACGCGTGGGCTGACGAACCAGGGCGGGCTGAACTGGAGAGTTTTGCCGGCAGGTGAAAGCGGCTGGCAAGTTCTTCTGGCCACCGGTCTTCTGGCCCACTGTGACGGAACGGAACTGGGACGGGACTTGGATTAACCCGATAGGCGCGTCGGACCGCGTCGGACGGCGAGGCGCCGCGGCATTCAAAGGGGATCGGAATTATCCGTTTTGTGGCAATCACCGACCACCGCGTTGCCGACCCGGGGAAACGAATAACGCCACCTCGTCTCTCTCTCTCTGCTCGCGCTGTCGTCGTCACCCGTTTTTCCCGCCTTTTTTTCTTGTTGTTGTTGGTTGCTTTTTGTGGTGATTGTTGTTGTTGTCCGATGGTCACACGCCTGTCGCTGCTTATCTCCGCGTTCCTTCGGCCGGCTGGCTGGCCAACCAATTATCGGCTGCGCTCCGCTCGGCCCGCTCGGTCGGCGACAGCTATTGGCGGGCGGCAGAGCGAATAAGAAATGGCCACGTCACCGCCGAAAAAAAAGAAGGTGTCTTTTCGCCGTGCGACCAGCCACTGCGTCCAAAAGTATAAACCTATCTTTTTCGGCCTGCGACCGACCCCCGCGTCTGAAACCCCGCCAGAATCGACAGAAATTTTCTTCTCTCTCTCTCTTTCTCTCTCTCTCTCCTCGAGAGACAGCCCAGGGCGGCTTGCACGGCTTGCTCATGGTTAGATCCACGGTATTGCTCCGGTTTTGCCGTGGAAAGGGGGACCGAGGCTTCGGTCGCGACAAAGGAAGAGTCCACTGCATTCACCGAGTGGCGTGCTCTCCAAGCGCAACGAGGTTGCCGACTGCAGCGCCCTAGGGTTGCCGACTGCTGGCTGCAAGGCCAAGGGTGCCCTAGGGTTGCCGACGGCGCGGGCGATGCCGCAAGTGGCTGTTGTCTGTTTTCCTCACCCCGCCGCAGTAGGCCTTGCACCATTAAGACGCAGCATCCATGCATCCACTGAAAGGTGTACACTCCGACCCCCCCGGAGACGCAGCCGCCCCGCCTGGAGTGGGTTTCAGTGTTCCAATACCCTGCCGCGCCCCGCCCCGCCCCGCCCCGCCCCGCCCTTATCCCGGCCTTGTTCAGTTCGATCCGTGTCTGGGGCTCTCGCAGCTCCCGCGCCCCGAAATGGGATTTGACACCGCATACGGCTCGGCGTACGGCGAGCCTGGCCGCGCCACTGTAGTGTGGCCCGACCGCCCCGCCGGGGCAGCCAGCCAGCCCCATTCAGAGTACGCATATTGGTGTCTGCGCCTCGGAGGCCCCCGACAGGGCCCCGCCAGGGAGGCCCGCGTCTAGCCGAGCGGATGTGGCAGGCGGACTCTTGACCTAACCTAACCTGACACGAACAGGCCGACCCGGAAAACGACCCGACCGGTGCTGGCCCAGTGTAGCAGCGGCGACCTGTCAGCAGCGGGCAACGCACCAGCGCAACGCGAAGCAACATGGGGCGGGGGGAGGGGCGGCGTGTAATGATTGGATTCCCCGGGTAAACAAGCCCCCAGAGCCTCGAGCCACTGTAGGGCCCGCGGGCCCCCCGGGGCGGCAGCGGCGGCAGCGCCTAGGACTGTTGAGCTCCGCACTGCTCCGCACCGCTCCGCACGGGCCGCCGAAGGCACCCCCTACTCCCAAGCCTCCCCACCGCGCCGCTCAGATGCAGACAGTAATTTGTTTCGTCAGTTCAACCGCCCCCCCCCCCCCAAACATCCTTCCAGTGCAAACACACGAAACGGTCGAGGCGTTTCAGCGAGATGAAAGCTCGACGAGCTCGATGGCAAGCAAGCACGTCATCGCACGGAAATATTGCGTTTGCCCGTTCGCAGCCAAACCGGAGAGAGAGGGGGGCTGGAGAATGCAATTGTGGCGACGAGGAAAAGGCGACGAGAAGGCAACGGGCCGGACAACGCGTTGCTCGCAGAGGGGTAATGAAAGGGCCTCAGAGTGCATAAGGCCGAAATGCAAAGGGCTCCAAAGGGCTGCGCAAGACGCGAAGGGCCCGGAGGCGAAGCCGAGGCTGGCAAAAGGGAGAGGGAGGGCAGGGTCGGCGGCCGGGACGGGCCGAGCCGAGCCAGGCCGAGCGACGGGCGGCGCGGCCATGAAAAGACAAGTGGATTGAGGTGGGCCCTGCGTAGCCCTGCGCGACGCCGCGACGCCCTCGCCGGGCCCTTTGGGGACGGCGCCTGTCAGGCCAGAAGGGCCAGAAGGGCCAGACGGGCCTCAAGGGCCCGTGGAGGGTGCAAATTATTAGGGTGCTCGAGTGACGCCCCGTCCCGCGCGCTACGCACTAATCCACGTCGGCTTATGTATCTCGTCGCCCGACTCGTCGCCAGACGAATCCTTAAACTCTGTTTCTGGGTCGTCGAATGAATGGCGCATTCTCCATTTCGCTAAGCGGCCCCGTTCGACCCTTTTCGAAACGTTTCGACACTTTTTGACCCGTTCGACCCTTTTTGACCCGTTCGACCCTTCGACCTGACCGCTCACATCAGGTTCACCCCACCGTTCAAAGTGTCCTTTTTGCCCTGTTTTCTTTCGACGACTGGGAGGGCCGGGGAACACTCTTACGGCGACTGGGAGGGCCTCAGTTTTCATCGTTTTTTCTCGCTGCCCGCGCTCCCCGCGGACGCTGGCAATCGGACTGGCGGCGGCTGGCCCGCGTCCTGTCCTACCGAAAAACTTCTCCTGTTATGACATTTTAAAGCGCGCCGAGCGCGGGCCGGGCGGACGGAATCTGCATTGCATGAATGTCCGTAAAATGAATAAATCTGCACGGGCGGCGCGGCCTGCCTGCCGCCTTGCTGCCGCCGGTGCCTGGGGCGCCCCTCCCTCGGGGTCCCGGCAACGTGGTGACGCGGCGACGCCACCGCCAGAAGCACGCCGTCGACGCGGATCCAGTGGGGGCTGGTAAAAGCAGATTTGACCCTCTCTTGGCCCCTAGGTAGGCACCTGAAAGGTGTGCAAAAAGCCACACTTTGCCGAAATGCCATGGCAAAACGTGATTCCTTGCCGCTTCCCCAGGCCGGCCCTGGACCCGCCCCTGCAACGCAGCACGCCCTCGACTCGGCCATCGCGGCGCATATGAATGATAACGTGTCTGTTAGTTCCAGAGAGCGGCGAAGCGGCGAAGCGGCGAAGCGGAGGGGTCAGCAGTGCTCCGCCGAGCCATGGCAGAGCGGCGCGCACACTGTCGGCCACTCAGCGAAAAGTCAGGCGTAGATAAGACCTCCACACGCTGTGTGTGTGTGTCCATCTACGTCGGCCAGTGGCTACGTCCAGCGGGCTGGATGGGGGAGGGGTGGGTTGGGGGGCTGCAGCGGTGCACGCCATTGTCTGCATGGCTCCATTGTCGCCAGCGTGCTTGGACCGCTTGGACGGGGCACGGCCCCCTGTCCTATATTCATGCTTACAATGCCACAATTAATCCTAGACGCTCCACCAGACCACCGACCGCTTCCTCCTCCTCCCCCCCTCCCCCCCTCCCCCCTTCTTATCGCCCCTTCGACACCAGGCAGTGTTGGGGGCGGTCGGGAGGGAGAGAGGGGCCATCGTGTGTAGTGCAAATTCCGCCCCACTGTTTTCCCCCGTTGGTGGTCGTCTATGCGTGGATCTAACCACTGCGGCATTCATTGCGATCTGTGTGTGTGTGTGAGCGGGCTTGCGGATTGCACACACTCGTCCTCTGCGGATCCCCCCACCCCTTCCAGGTGAATCCGTCCTCATACTTATGTTCGCCGCACCGCACAGTGCTGCAGCAATGCCGTAACGGGCTGTATACACCGTAAACACCGAATTCTCCCCCCCCCCCACCCTTTCCCCTTCGCGCTATCTCCGTTCCGAATGCAGGAGCAGCATTATTGTCCAGCCCTTTTTATAGAGACCTTCTGGCTGGCTGGTGCCCTGGTGCCCGCGGGGTCTAGATGGGCGGGGCGGGGCGTGGCGGGGCGGGCGTCAAAAGACGGCAGGGATTTCTAGACGGAAGGGGGAGGAAATAATATAGGAAGGAAGTGTAAAAAAAATGGAGCAGATATAAAAGGAGGAGACTGGTGTGGCGAAATGAGAGAGAAAGAGAGAGAGAGAGAAAGAAAGAGCGAGAGAGAGCGGGCGACCCACAGGGTGACACCGTGTATGCGGATTGATCGAGAGACTTTCTGAGTCGGGGGAGGGGCGGGGTGGGGCGGGGCGGGGTGGGGCGGGCGGGGGCGGGGGGGTGGGGCGGGGCGGGGTGGGGGGGGCTGGTGTGCGTCTCAATAGGATCATATTTGCGGCGGGCCGAGGAAGGCGAAGGAGCTCTATTAGAGGATTCCTTTGACACATCGTCACGTGCACGGTGTCGGACGGCGTGCGCGTGTGTGTGTGTGTGTGTTCAATCACGCAAAGGAACGCCAAAGACACTCACACACGCGCGCACACACACAGACGAATCAAATAAATCAGGGTTTCGTTGCGTGCGGGCCTCGTCGTCGCCTCGTCGCGGGGCTGTTTCTGAAGGCCCCGGCAAGGCCGTAGCCATGTCTTCTTCTCCTTTTTCTTTTTCTTTCCACCTTCTTCTCCACCTTCTCGACGCCGACGGCGAACGCCCGCAGAAGTGCGGGTAGGCAACGCGCCGCGCTGCTGCGTCGCCGCACTGCCTACCCTGGCGGGCTGTCGGGCGGCAGCCTGCCAGATGCTCCAAACTGCAGCCCAATTGGGAAGGCTACGCACCCGGCCCGTCGAATTAATGAAGTGTTATTTCGCTGAGGGGTCCGCTACCACCGCGCTGCCACCGCGCTGCCACCGCCGCCGTGCCGCACATCGCCGCTGTGTGTGTCGTCGTGTCGCTGCGTCGCAGAGCCTCGCGTTGCCTCGCGTTGCCTCGCGGGCACGGAGACGGGGACTAGCTCGCAGTGGAGCGGACGCCGCCCCGCCCCGCCCCGCCCCGCCCCGCACGTGGTAAAGTGCCACTCGGCGCGCGCCCCCGTGGTCCCCGTGCCCGCAGAGAACCGCAGGGTGTCGCACCTCGCCGTGCCGTGCCGCGCCGTGCCGCGCCGCGCGACGCTCGTTCGTTCGTTAGCGGCAGGAGAGGAGCACTTGGGTGTTTACTTTGTGTGCAGGAATAACCAGTGCGAACCAACGCGTCTCCCTCCCGGATTACGGCGGCTCGGGCGGCCAGCACGCCAGGCCCGGCAACGGTGTTCGCTGGTGTGCTGCCGCTGCTGCTGTGTTCTTGCGTGTCGTCGAGGACCCCCCCCCCCCCCCCAAAAAAAAAAAAAAAAAAAAAGTTGATCTTTTTTTTGTTGTTGTTTAACAGGAAAACGCACCCATGATCGTGCCCTGGGTGGTGGGGACCATCGCGTTCCTGGCCATGGAGGCCGTGGGCACGGTGTACTCCAACGTGCTGCGGGACCACGTCAACCACGTCAGTACAAACAATCATTTTTCTTGTTGTTTTCTTTTATAAACTGTTTTTTTTTTTAAGTGACGGTGTTTAAGTAGTATGTTTAATTGGATTTCAACGCTGTCCGCAGGAATTCGACACCCTGTGTAAGGTGGAAGGGGGCTTCCTAATTTTTCGTGGGGCCTTAAACGTAAGTCACCCTCCGAAAAAAAAAGTATTTTTTTTTTAATCACCGTTGATTTTACAGAAGCCTCACGCACACACTTTTAACCTACTCCCACACGCGCAAACATCGCTCCGTCCACCAGCAGGGCGTGACAAGCTGGCTCCAAACGGTGTTTAACTTAACCTAACCTAAACTGGTTTCGAGTGTCGCTGCGCGGGAAAACACTTGACTAGCGCCGCTTCGGCTGCGCTGCCTGCTCTCCGTCGGCCACGCTCTGCACGCTCTGCAGCGCTTGGCTCGCTCCCAATATCTCCGCCCGGCTGATAATGAGCAACATAAGTCTCCCCGGATTCAAATCTCGGAATCTCTGCCCTGCTGCGGCCCAGCAGCAGCGGCAGCGAACTGATTCCGAGAGTCGTTTTCCTCGCTCTGTCTCTCTCGCACGTACATACGGCACGCCCCGTGAGTGCGAGGGGGACAGAGCGACGAAAACGACGCTCGGAATCCAGTGTGCAGCGGCAGCAGCGCCCTCTCTCCGCTCGGACCGAATTTATGCCTCGCTCCCGCTAATTAGTTGGAAACGTGCGTTAATCACGTGTCGCCTCATGGCTGCAGGAGGAGGCCGTAGAACTGTGAGGGGAGGGGAGGGGGAATGCCCAGCAGCCCGCACACGCTCTGCCGCGCTGCGCTCCGCACGGCTCCGCACCAGAACCAGAGCCTTCCCCCGGGGCCTTCCGCGTGTTGGGGGCTCAGACTCAGCAGCTCGGCTGCGCGCTGCGCGTTGCGCCTGGCTGGACCGATTCCGAGAGGCGTTTTTCGTCGCTCCGTCTCGCTCGCACTCGCGGGGCGTCCCGTGTAGGTGCGAGAGAGACAGAGCGACGAAGACGACTCCCCGCTCTCCGGACTCAGCGCCTTCTGCGGAGAGGTTTACGGCACTGCCGGGCATCGAAGGGGCAGTGGAAGCGGGGGAGGGGAAACCAAACTTGCTCACGCTTTATTGTTGTCGCCTGATGAGTTTGGCCAACACGTGTTGCGGCCGTTCCGACATTCCCACCGGACCAGCAGACTGATTCCGAGAGTCGTCGCTCTGTCTCTCTCGCACTCGTGCGGCGTCCCGTATAGGTGCGAGAGAGACAGAGCGACGACTCTCGGAATCAGTCAGAGGCCGGCAGTACGCGAGCAAGCACCAAGAGGGCTGATGCCGAAGAGCGGTTTCGCCCGCTAGGGGTGCGAGGGAGACAGAGCGTCTCTCTTTCGGCCCGGACGGCCAGAAAAACCGAGGAAAACTGCCAAGAAGGAGTTGCCTGCCATCCGGGCCGGCCATCCGGGCGTTTTGCTGCCTTTGCTGCTGCAACAGTGCTCCCACACTGGCAGCGCTGGCAGCAAGGCCGCAGGGGAGTTTTCCTGCTCCCCGCCGCCCCGCCGCTTCCAGCACAACATGCTCGAATTTGGACCGTTTGTCGACGGAAAGGCGCGCTCCCCCGGGACCGGGCGACCTCTGCACCCTTTGCCTCACTCCACATACAGCCGAGTGACTCCAAAGAAATGGTCTCGCCGCTCCGTCCCTCTCGCACCCTGCGGCACGCCGGCACGCCCCGTGAGTGCGACAGAGACAGGTATCGGCCCGCAGCGGCCGCACCTAAAAGCCAAAAAGCCGAGCGGGACAAAAAAAAAGGAATCCGCCCCGGGCGGGATTCGAACCCCGGCCCGGCCAGCCCGCTGCACCCGTTGTCTCCGCGCAGCACTCTGACGGCCGTGGCGTGGCCCCGCTGGCCAGGACGTCACCAGTAGACTCATTCCGAGAGTCCTTTTCGTCGCTCCGTCTCTCTCGCACTCGTGGGGCGTCCCGTGTAGGTGCGAGAGAGACAGAGCGACGACTGCAGAGTCTGCCGGCGTCGCGACGTGACGGCCGGCCTTCCATCTCCTGATTGCGTCAAGGCATCGCCGAGGCAGCCCGGCCATGCTGGCAGCCTTCGAGACTTCGAGGCGCGCGCTGCCTGCCACTGCCGCGCTGCACCGCCTCCGTCTCCCAAGTCCGGAGTCCGGCCTGCAGCGCGCAATCACTTTGAGCGCTGCTGACTCTACTCCGGCTTGTTGTTGTTGTTGACGTGAGCCTCCCCGTTGTTGCAGTGCGTGGCGCTGCACTGCGTGCTGCGCGTGTACCGCGCGCTCAAGACTGGCGTCCGCTTCGGCGGCCCCGAGCAGGTGGAGCTCTGATGGCGGGTGGCGAGTGGCCGCCGTGGCGACCGCCGCGACGACGCGGAGGCCGAGGACAGCGACGGCGCCCTGGACGGCGGCGTCCTGGACGGCCCGGGCCCCAGCAGCGCGGCGCTGCCCTGCGCCGGCCGCCACGGCTTCGGCCACGCCTTCGGCCACGGGCTCGGCCAGCGCCGGCGCAACCACGGCCTCGGCCGGGGGTCCCCGTCGACGGCCACCAGCACGCCGGGCTCCAGCGAGGACGAGGACTGCTGCGCGCGCGTGGCCAACAGCGGCAGCGACTCCGAGACGGCCGCCATGCTGGACCACGACGACGACGACGAGGAGGAGGTCACCGCAGTCTGACTAGAGCGTTCACGCAGCCATCCTCAGTTACCACTCTATTTTTAAACAAAAACAAAAATGACGGGTTCATTTTTTTTTTTTTTTGAAAGTGCAGAATCTATTTTATTTGAAAGAAATAAGTGGAATGTTGTTGTGCGACTTTGGGGTGATGTACGTGTTCCCCTTTTGAATGGAAATTTAGTGGGTTTGTGAACTTGAAGCTTGTCCGACGACCGCCTAGTCAAGGGTAGGAGGCCGGCTCAGCCAAACTGGCCAGCGGGTCGCAGCATATCATGGTGTAGGAACAGGCAGACTCCTTTGGCTCCGCGTCTCCAAGTCGGTCTGTGGCCGTTGCACAGTGAGGTGGTCTGCCTCTTGTGTTTGAGTACTGTCTGCGTCTGTCTGTGTGCGTGAGTGTATGCGTGCGTGTGTGTGTGTGTTTGCTGAATTTGGGGGACAATGAAAGTAAATGTGGATCTAGAAACATAAGTGCGCGTGAGTTGACATGACAAAACACGGCCTGATTGGAAGGGGATGGGGAGGGGGAGGGGGGAGGGGCTGAAGTGGCCCCACCAATCAGGCCCCGTGTTGTCCCGGCCCACAGACTACAGTTCTCCGGACCTGCAGACTGATTCCGAGAGCCGTTTTCGTCGCTCTGTCTCTCTCGCACCTATACGCGACGCCCCATGAGAGGGAGAGAGACGGAGCGACGAAAGCGACTCTCAGTCTGCTGCAACACATGGCGCAGCCGACCCCCCTCCCCACCGCTTCGCTGCAGGAAGGCGAGGCGAACACGAAGGCCGCATTATCACCGGTCATTCCCTTGAAACGCGAGCCGATAGACTGAAGTTAGTTGTATGTCTTAGAGGAAAGAATAAAAGCCATGTAACGCGTGTACTTTGATGTGCTGCCAAAACAATGCCAATTTTCTGCTAAAGCTTTGTAATTTTAGTTGGGATTTTAAAAAAATGTTGTAGGTCATTCCCCTTGTCTGTGTGTGATACTCCTGCTTAGTTTATCTTTCTAGGAACAACGACAGTCTCTAGGCTTAAGCTTGTCTCCTATGTGCCGCCCCCTGTATTAAAACGGATCAACGTGCTTTCAAGTTGTAGGGAAACAAACTTTTATCGGGTGAGTTTGCCAGGGATAGAGTAAGTGGCTGTGGCGTATCGTTTTTATGTAAGCAAATATCACACCATGGTATGTTGGAGAAAATAAAAAAAAATCTACTTTAGAATGAAAGGCAACCGCCCTGTCGTTTCTTTTTTCATTGTGCTTGCACCCGAACCTCCGAATCAGTATTAACGGCATGCCCCAGAATGGGGAATGGGGCCTGAATTGAAGAACGCCCATTTGGTATACATTGGTATACATGAACCCCGGGCGGTCGGAGCCACCAGTTCCCTCCCGGAGTCCTGGCACTGACATTTGTCAGAGGACCACGGCACCAAATAGGCAAGGAGCAGAGACCCCTCCCACCCCACCACGCCACGCCCGCACCTGCCCCCAGCAGATGTGCCTGCAATGCCAGAGTATTTGACGAGGCCCGGCCCGCCTAGGCCCGCCCCACCGCGGCCGGCCCTGTCGTGACCAGAATGCAAGGTTGCCAACCCCGCGTGCCCACTGCCACAGCCCCGCTAAAAGGACGCAAGGCCACGCAAGGCTCTTGGGACTGCTTTCCGTGTTGGGACGCTGCGGTTTTTGCAATCTCCCAAGTTGTAGTGTAGCCACGCCAAAAACGAATATTTCCATTTTTGGGTGAGCCATGGCCGACACCTCAGCCTTCTTACTGAGCCACCGAGGCATCGCTTCTTTGTGGGTCGTGTAAACTTAGAGTGATGGTACCGCATTAAGCAGTCAACTGAGGAAAATGTTTGAGTTCTGTCTTGACCTTCGTGGGTGAAGAAACAAACTATGGCATATTCAATTTTAATTCATTTTATTTTCCCATGAGTCGGCAGGAAACAGTCGTTTTGGTGTTGGCACAAATTTTAACTGGACAAATTCGTTGTGAAACAATGACTGCAGCATTTAGCAAAACATTACAAGCTAAGTAAAATTACAGGTACACACTTGAAAAGGGAACATAAGAGTTACTTGTACTTTGTGCTACACTTGTAGCAGGAAACACAACATTTATGCTTTCTGAGATGTGACTGCTATTTGTTCAACATAGAGACAACAAAGTTACTCAGCTAAGTCTTTGAGGTCAGAAAGAATGGCTGAAGGTGAAGAATACTATCAGCTTCTTTTAAGTCTTTAAGATATGTCAACTGGCCTAGATTGCCAGCATGACTAAGTATTACTCCAAAATTCATCAGAAACACACATACTGTACAGAATACACACACAAACACACATGCAAAGAGATGCAGATTCAAGGGCTATTCCAAACAACAAGGACATACATTAAGAATCTGCTACTGCTCACACATTGCCACCCTTTGAACCCATAAAAGAAAAACTAATTGCAGAATGTTTTGCCATTAGAAGAAAACAGTGCTTTGCTGTACAAAGAGACGACAATCACAAGACTAGTTCAGAACTTTCAGAAGTATCAACTAATATTTGGAGAGACTTTAACACTTTCTCAAACAAGGCTTAATTGAGGAGCTAAATTGATTTTATTAATTTAATTTTAAGAAAATAAAAAAAAATTCACAGCACATACCATTACACAAGTATTTATCAATCAAAGTGCAAGATTACAGGGTCAATTTTTATTTTCCTTCATTCACAAATGCTGTATGTACTCTCCAGGTCTGCTTGGACAGCATCAAAGATAATTTGGTAATTTTGAGGCACTTGCATTTGTTTGAATCACAGCCATATTAATGATGATATTTTACTAGCTCTGTGTTAAGTGAGAAACCCACCACATAGTTGACAACTGAATGAACAAGAGTCAAACACATAAACGCAACAAACTTAAGTTACATTTAATAAATTTCTGCCATGATCAAAGTAACTAGGGCTGTCCAACCAGTAAATGGATGAGATCCTTTTCCTTCACCAGTCCTATCATCATAATTTTCCCACAAATGGCCAGTGCGGTCATACTCTTTATAGATATTTTTGATAAGGTTGAGTCGTAGTCTAGCATATATCTCACCTGCAAGTTTACGGTGAGGCCCTTGGGCGTGACTATAATAATACAATGCTCTACAGGCTAGGTAATTCATATTAATCCAAATTTGACCACGCCAATATGGTGGGTCGTGTTCTGTATTCCGCTTCATGTACAAAGGTGAATTTGGAGAAAGTGACCTCAGCCCATACTTAGTCCAAAGCAATGCTGGATTTTTTATATCATCAAGAACTTTTTCTAGATGTTTACTGTTTGGATCCAATATTTGCAAAAGGAAAGGAAACAGGTTAATATAACCAAATTGGGTATCTATATACTCATACTGAGGTTCCTTCAGCACCATTCGAATATATTCATTGCTGTGAGAATCAGACCGTGGAGAAGGTGGAGGTTTCACCAAAGTCACAGAATCGGTATTCAGACCATAGTCTGCATATCGCGATTTAGATTCAGACCAATGTAATTCATCTAAAAGATTGTTATCACTTAGCATTTCATAAGTACTTCCATAACGCTCTGCATCATGACCAAGGAGCTCAGCCATTTCTGCCAAGACTTGTGCACCAAGTGCCAACCAACATCTCAAATCAATGTGACGTTCCAAACTGGTTGGATGTGAGGCACGAGGATAATCATCTAACCCTGAAGTGAGAGTCTTGGGATTTAAAAACTTCATAGTATCTGGGTCACGTCCTCTCCACCGATAAGTGGTTGGTAGGCTACCAACTTGAGTGGTATTGAACCATGTGAACCATGCCTTTAGCCTGGGATACAGACGTTCCAAACTATGAATATGCTCGGAGTTCTCAATTATTTTCTCTCGGTAGTTGCGAAGAATTTGCTGGAGAACAAGGAAGAATGTTGGTGGATTGGCGTTTTCATTATGTTGAACTACAAACTCTTGAGGAACCTGAAAATAAATAAATGGGAATTTTAGCTAATTAGGTTTGGTCACCAAGTTATGTTTACAAAACAATCACAAGTTTTATAAATACCTTGGCTAATGCCTCTGCACCGAGAATTTGTTCACGAGGAATCCATCCTTGCACATTCATAAGGTCAAACCAGTGACATAAAATGTCAAGAGTGATCTCAAGATCCCAAGGAAGGATGAGTAAGGCATGGAAACCTTCATCCCAGAGAAATCCACGAGGGAAAACACTTCTTGATGGTACAGCCGTGTAAAGTGGTGCCTTCCAGTATGGAACGGGAGCCTGAGCGAAAGAAATGGAAGGTTTAGAAACTAAAAAATTTATCAGCAAAAATCATAAAAGAGGTTTGGGAAGTGAATACATACAGGATTATACTTGGATTGCACAAGAGATGAGCCATAGAAGTAAGCAATCCCACCAACAAGATTACTGAAAGTAGTACGGGCAAACTCCTGCATTCGTTCATCAAAACCTTTTTCTTTTAATTTGAAAGTATCATCAAACTGTTTATAAAATGCTTTTCTTTTTTCGGTAAGATTGTTGTCAAAGTTAGATTCTGCAAGAATATCTCCATCCTAACAAAAAAGAAAAGAAAAGTTTGTTGTTTAAAGTGTAAAAATAAAGATTTACCGGTCTATAATATATTATAATAGAATAACTTCTAACCTGAGGAGGTCCAGACTTGAACATAATTTCTATTCCAAAAGGTACCTTAGCATCTATTTTTTGCACACTAAGGTTTGGAACAGGGTGAGGGTTGTCCCTAGTAATAGGCAATTTGAATCCTGGGAGAACAATAAGTCTTTTGTCTCCATCACGAACCTGAAATACACCAGAACATAATGAATTCAAGTTCATTACACCTAGGTGGTTGCCTTCTAAAATTTATTCTTACCGCACGAAGGTAGTTTTCAGTTATTTCTTTGATTTTGTCCAGACCTGATACATGTGTTGTGAGGTGTGACATGTGAGAGAGCTCCCCATGATGACTCAAAAGTCGCACTGAGAAGTTGCCCAATTCTTCTGTATACCCAACAATTCCAACTTTTTGCTCATTTGTAGTAACCATTCCTGAGGTCTTTTCATCAAGTGCCATGTAGAACATCAGAGACACACCGAGTCCATTGACTTCAGGAACCTAAAAGAGTATACAAATTTTAAAACATGGAATATTTTGAATTTAAGATTCAACCAAAAATGTGATAAATTAGAGCCAAAAATACACACCAGTGCTGAGACATTAATGTATGCAGACCAATCGCCCCCACGACGACCTCCAGGCTTTTTCACGAAAGAGGTTGTGATATTATAGACATGATCTGTAATATCCTGAATTCCAAATGTTCGACCATCATGCTCCTTCCACCCATACTGTAGATCGTCGTGTTGTTCACACCAATGCCTAGATGTCAGTGAGAAATTAAGTCAATGTGGGCAAAATCAGAGTATAAGGACCCAGAAACAAAAATAACAGCCTAAAAAACAGTAACGATACCCACCTTACACCTGCAGTGCCTGTCATAACATGGGCATCAAAGTACCACATAAGACCCATAACAGGTGAGTGTGGCTCTCTTGTCTTCATGCCAAAATAAACGCCAGGTCGGTAGGAGCCCCAATAACGATCAGGTACAGCAAGGCCAGAGCGTCCAACAACCTGAAACCCACATCACAGCAATGTAAGACACATCAAACGGGCCTCCATTGTGATATGACATACATTATCAATCTCACCTTGTGTTTGTCAAACGGTGTATTGACTCTTGTTTGAAGATATCCATTGTAAGTCAAGAGGCAAATCAGGGTGAGAGCTGCACCCGTGCATGCTATGGCAGCCACAGTCATGAATTTCTGAGTTAGTGTAGCTCGTTGACGTGAGCGAAGACTCTGTTGGTGCTGGTGCTTGAGGTGAACTGAGAAACGGTCTTCATATTCAATAGCACCACTGTGCCTCCGTGGACTGGGTCCTTCTATAGCTTCCTGATGGTGGTTACTGTGTTGGCCAGGTCTTCCATGTTTCCGTTGCCTCGCCATGGGGGGCACCTTAGAACCAGAACAGCTGTGATGGTAATGGGAAGTGAATATGGATTCATTCTTTGGTCAGTTTGCCATCAAATCAATAGATTTGACTTTGATGCAGAAGGGATGAGATGGAGGTACACTTTGTTTATCAGCAACACAAAGACTAGAGGATCTAAGCTTAATTCAACAGAGAAAAACTGTAGATACAGCAAATTTGGAAACAACAGAAACAGTAACTCATAGAAAGAATCATGAAACAAACCACTAAGAATATGGGTCAAGGAACATTCATTCGATGACATTTTAACATAAAGTTCGAAATGGAAGTATCCTTACCGTGAAACGGGTCTGGTGGGTGCCAGGTCAATGCTATAAAAAAATAGCTAGTGCCAAAAAGCCGAAACCAGTAGCAGACTGCCCCGTGGAAGTGGAGATGAGAGGGGGAGAACCTTCCGAGTAGCAGACAGGATCACCTTTTTGCATATCTCCTCTCAGACTGAATCTTTCACACGGCAAATGAAGAATTTTCAGACTTTAAACAAACAATGCTCTCTTTCCATCTCAAGTTAATCATTAAACTGGGAGAAAATTTTTGAAATGAAATGGCCTAATCGCAGCGGCCGCAGTGCAGTATTTGCAGGAAATCAGCAATTTCTCATGAAATGAATCATTTAGTTATGAGAAATCTATCTGACAGTTAGTTGTTGTTTATTTACAATCAAATTATCTCTCCCGTGATTAGTACCTCTCTGCTGTTTAGGCACCTACTCCTCTCTCGGCGGTTCCACTATACCCATTTTACCAGTGTTCGATCTGCTGAAGAAGTCGCGGACTGAACCGGTAATATTGTTTCTTATTGCAGAAAACGCAATGAGTGAGCCGGTTGATCCGTCGCCATCCACGTCTAAGGACGGAGAGGGGACGTCGGGGACACCCTCGTCCTCTTCGCCTGTCAAATCTCACAACTCCCATGCTCTGCTGGTAAACATGAAACAGGTAACGTAAAAGCACCAAAAGCACTCTTTTATCCTTTCATTGTTTTCTTTTGTCAATTTTGCATTTTGTTCATGTAGAGAGGTAACCCAGCTTTGAAAGCAGTGTCAAATGTCCCGTGGGAATATGACGAAAGTATCCTTGCAGACTACGTCATGAGTCCATCGTCATGTGCTCTCTTTCTATCCATCCGTTACCACAATTTAAATCCAGACTACATACATGATCGATTGAAGTTATTAGGACACAGGTACCAGCTGCGAGTGCTCCTAGTGCAGGTGAGGATGCTTGCCCCTTTCCCGTAATAGTTTTATGTCTATCTTAAATAAGTTTCCTTTAAATCTTTTCCCTGCTTAGGTTGACACGCCTGAGCCACACCATGCCCTGAAGCACTTGACTCGAATTTGTATTTTGGCCAACTTGACTCTCGTCCTTGCGTGGAGTGCTGAGGAAGCTGGCCGCATATTAGAAACTTACAAGATCTTTGAGCATAAGCCACCTGACCTTATCATGGAGCGCAAGGAGTCTGATCCTCATGCAAAGGTATAATGCCTAGTTTTCGATGTCATACCCATACTGTATTATTCCTAATATATTCTTGAAATAATATCATAATGTATTTTCAGCTGGTGAATGCCTTAACTTCAATTCGGTCTGTAAATAAGACTGACGCTTCGACCCTACTGACAACATTTGGATCTCTCAAGCGATTAGCTACAGCTCCCAAAGATACCCTTGGACTCTGCCCAGGGCTTGGTCCTCAAAAAGCAAATCGATTGTATAATGTCTTGCATCAGCCGTTTCTAAAAGAAACATCTGCTAAAAAGTCTTCTAAAAGCAAATAAGAAATATGAACCATTCAGAGAATTTTGTACTGTACTTTCATTGTTGGCAGGGCTGGAACAGGGTTTCTTCTGTGATATTTAAAATAAACCTGGTTGCTGGCGTAATGTACTGTACTTGACGTACAAATTTATTGCATTTTACAAATAATCCATTTGTTCTGAATAATTCATGACTATCAATGGACAAGTACATTATATGCACACAAATACACAATTAGCAATAATCACAGAACATAATTTACACAAACACTGAATGGCAACAGATGATATTATCACAATACATCCTGATTTTCTTAAAATGAGCACTTACATAGCAACAAATCAAGATAAGTAAAAATTTGTTAAAAAGAAAAATAGCTATGTAGCTTGTCTTAAAACGGATAAGGAAAATTAGAAAAAGAATTTAAAACAGGGCAATGAAGTTTGTCAATGTTGTTCAAGGGCAGTCAAGAGGTCATCAGTCTGAAACATTGACCTATACCGTATTTAAAAACAGAGAACATCCCCCTTATACAGTATTTACAAACAATATATACAATTTTACACAACTTTGGACAATCAGCTTTTTTATGGAGATCACAAGTGTTATTTAGTTAACTACTGGAATGGTTGGATACGTTCTGCACAGTCATTCATTCAATTCACTAGCCTTTGCCTGGACAAGACTGTACATGTGCAGAATTCAAGTATCAAGCCAAAGCCACATCTTACAATTTTCATTTTTTTAAAATTAGGGACGCATAGTTCATTTTTCAAAAACACACTCGACTAAACACAGCTAATTCCTAACAATAATATACTTATACAGCTGTTGGTCACAGCTTAAAATCACAATAAAAATATCATACTTTGACGATGGCTTTCAGTGTTTGTTTAAGCTCTATCGGAGCCAGACATCTATGACACCAAGTAAACATAGGCCAAGCCACATTAATTTTTTTCGCAATTCCATTTCAAAACAAATAATACTGAAAAGACAATAGTAGTAAAAATCTTACAGTTTTGAAAATTTTGGCAACTTGGAAAGGGTGCTTTCTTTTCGCACAAGACCGAATATGTACTTAATACTACGTGACTTATTAAAAAACAAAATATCTCACAATAATACTAAGCTGAGGCTCTATTTTGTATTTACTTTCATTCAATAAATTTTTAAGACGCCTGGTAAAAGAATCAAATTACCAGATAATAACAAACAAGCTAAAAACTGCTAAAAATGATTACAACTAAAATCAGCAACTTTGGGCCTTGCCACAAGGCAGTAGACAGCATGAGCCAAAAATTAAAATATTAATACTAGGGGGGTTGAGTGTAAATCCTATCTGTGAACAAACACAGAAATTATGATTGGTAAGACTAACAACCATAGAGGTGGCCTCAGCCCCGCTTGACCGCACACCAATTCATCTTCATGGTAGGTCACATTGTCTGGGACTGGTGAGTCTGGCAAGCACTTTTCCCCAGGGTTATCAAACTTGTCCTGCACAAACAAGGCACAATTAAATATTTGCATTAAATCATTAGCACATTTTAGGGTCAAAAAATGCAGTGTGCTTTGACTTACCTTACAGAGCTGGGAACATCGAGGGCAAATTAAAACTCCATTGTGTAGCCAACCATTAGATAGCAATCTAATTTCTACCTGTTGGCCTTCGTTGTAGCAAGTAAAGGTGTAATTTTCAACCTATAAAACAAACAGAAGTAAAATCTTGAACTAAAGCAAATTTGACACAAAATGAAGCCAAAGCACACTTCTCCATATACTGAAGAGGAGCAAACCAAAAAGGATAAGCTTACATGAATGTGAAGTCTGCCATCAGCACAATGATATTCATAGCAGCCCGAACCCCAGTGTTGCCACTGTCTTAGCTGTGTGCATGATCGTTCTTCCCATCTTCTGTTTGATTGCAGAAAACATTTGGAATCATCTCCATAGGATTCAAGAGCAAAGTTCTTATCCTTGTCTACAAATGAAGAGGAGAAAAAGGAATCAGTGAATGCATTCAAACACATATTTGAAGAAAAGCTAGTGCGAAATCGGAGAAAGATAACAAGCACCAACTTACGGGGATTGTTCTCAAAATATCGGCAATTGGAGCCACGTACAACAACGCTCTTGGAACGCCACGTGAACTCCTGAATGTAAGGGCAGTAGTCCGCCAAAGACACGGACCCTCCGTAAAAGCCTTCACGGCCTTTCTCCACATTGTAGATCTCGTCGAAATTCTGGAACATGCGTGGCAACTGCTCCGAGTGCTCCAGCAAGTTGCAGAGGGCCACTGAGCTGCGGTCGTTGGTGCACTCTGTTTCCAGGGGGTCCTGCTTCACCTTGGAGCAGAACGGCGCGATGGGCATCCCTCTGTAAAAGGCGAATTACCATTAGCCCCCTGGATCAGCGCTTGCCAGAAAAAAAACGTGTACAACCTAAGGCTCGACTCACTGTTTGTGCTTGAGGTCCATCCACTCCTTGCAGCTCTTCATGGCGAAGTCGCAGCCCAGCCGCTTTCCCCACATGAGGGGCTGGGCCATGCTGTAGTTGGCGCGGTACCAGCCCGTGTCCTCCATGAGGGCGAGGGTGAGGCGGGAGTAGACGGGGTTCTGGGTGTGCGTGCCCGTCATGGCTTCGTTCTGGCGGGCCAAGGAAAGTCAGAACTCACGTAAAGGGTGGACCAAAATGCAAAACGCGCAAACACCGCCACGCTGCCACCGACCTCGAAGACCCGCTTCTCCCAGTGGGTGAGCGAGGTGCCCTCGTCGCCCTGGTCCTCCAGCTCGGCGCCCTCCAGCGTGGGACAGCCGAAGTGGTCCCTGGCCTCGCGGACGACGCGCGGCGTCACCATCATGAGCACGTCGCGGGCCACGGCGCCGCCGCGGACCACCCACTTGGGTCGGTGCACCGTCTTGATGACGCGGTCGCTCCACTGCCGCGCCTGCAGCCTGCAACCGCCAACGGCCGAGCGGCCAAGCGTCAGCCGGCAGCTCCACACCGCACAGTGGATTTGCCCGAAGTGCGAGAGAGACAGAGAGGTCTCCTCGCAGACTCACTTCTCGTTGAGCAGCGGCTTGCCGTTCTCCTCGCGGGGGGTGAGCGGGTTGCCGTCCTGGTCCCGGTAGAAGGCGTACAGGCTGACGGAGAAGCCGAGGGCGTGGAGGATCTCGTGCTTCACGGTGGACAGCAGGATCTCCTGCTCCTGGCGCTTCGTCACGATGTTGTCGGGGCACAGGTTGGCGTGGCCCGCGATCGGCCTGCCGGACACACCGTGAGTTCGTTCATTCTCGACGCACAGCCAGCATGCGCAAACACTTCACTTTATTTTTTTTGCTGCGGTTGGCTCACCTGTCCAACGCCGCCTCCTGCTGACAGTGCGCGGCGTACGCCACCGTCTGGCCCTTGTTGCAGCGCTCCGTCTGCATGGCCGACACGTAGAAGATGAAGTCGATGTCGTCGATGCCGGCGCCCTGGCTCGAGCCCTCCAGCTCCCCGCAGTCCTGCCCCGTGTCGTTGCACGTGCGGCACACCTGTGTGGCCGAGTAACACAATCAGGCCGTTTGAACGCTGGTTTTGCGCCAAGGTTTGCGCCAAGGTTTGCGCCAAGGTTTTGCGCCAAGGTTTGCGCCAAGGTTTGCGCCAAGGTTTTGCGCCAAGGTTTGCGCCAAGGTTTGCGCCAAGGTTTGCGCCAAGGTTCGCGCCAAGGTTTGCGCCAAGGTTCGCGCCAAGGTTTGCGCCAAGGTTTGCGCCAAAGTTTGCGCCAAGGTTTGCGCCAAGGTTTGCGCAAGTTCGCACCCACCTCGAGGTGCTCCTCCGGCACCTCCACCTCGCCGCACATGGTCTTCTCGTCGCAGGCATTCTTGCAGAAGACGCCGTCCTTCCGGTAGAACAGCTGGTTGTTGGCGCACTTTCTGCAACAGTCCGAAAGCGACCCGCGGGTTCAGTGCCGGCCGTCCCTCACGCCGCCTGCGATGCCGAGAGTCGTCGCTCTGTCTCTCTCGCACTCACGGGGGGTCCCGTGCGGGTGCGAGAGAGACAGAGCGACGACTCTCGGAATGAGTCTGCTGCAGGGCGCCGCGAGAAGGAGAAGAAGAGGAGGTTCTCTGTCGCGCTGCCGCACCTGTTGAGGCGGATGGTGGAGCCGGCACGCCGCACCATGAGCGCGTTCTCCCAAAAGCGGACCGCTTCCGGCAGGATCGTGTTCTGGAACAGAAAAGGGGGAAAGGGTAAAGCGCGCAGTCATAATCCGAAAGCGCGGCAAAATTAAAACGCCGGCGGCCGCACCGGACGCCGCAGCCGGCGACCGCGAGCCGCAGACTCATTCCGAGAGTCCGCCTTCGTCGCTCTGTCTCTCTCGCACTCGCGGGGCGCGCCGTATGGGTGCGAGAGAGACAGAGCGACTCTCGGAATGAGTCCGCAGCCACCGCGGGGCCACGTGCCGGACGCCGCCGCCACCACACTGCATTGCACCGCAGCGCTTTGCATCAGCCGTTGTCTCCGTCTCTCTCGCACTCACGGGGCGCCCCGCAGGGCCGCAGGGGTGCGAGAGAGACGGGGCGACCCAGGCGGCTGGCACGAATAATTAAATTACAAAACTGCATCCGAGAAAGAAAGCAGCGGGTACTCACGTTTATCAGTTCAAACTTCTCCTCCTCCAGCCTGGAAACAGAGAGAAGAGCAACTTTTTAGAACGGTGCGTTGAGGGACAGTGTAGACACGCCCCATGAGTGCGAGAGAGACAGAGCGACGAAAACGACTCTCGCAATGAGCCCGCCGGCCTGTTGGCCGCCTGTGAGGTATGCTGGCCCGCCGGCAGAGCAAGACCTCAAAACGACAACCGAAAAAAATAAATTGTCCTTTCCTTTCGGAACGAGACACGGGAGCTGCGCTGCACGCCGCGGGGGGCTGTATGGCCTGTGTGGCCTGGCCGCGGGTACTTAGCACTTTCCCACACTTGCCACTGCACTCCGCCGCACTCGGCACTCGGGGCGTACACCGTAAAGCCGACTCGACGCCTCGCCGGCGTGTCGAAGTGCGAAGTAAAGCGCGAAGCCCCAAGCCGCGGCCTTGCAAGGCCACCCCAACGCAACGCGCACCGCGCGCACCGCGGTGCCTTTCAGAGCGTGGAGCGGGGCGGGGCGGGGCACGCGCGTGCGCCGCGGGGCTCACACGTTATTACCGACATTAGACAGACAGACGGACGGACGGCGCGCGCGCCAGCCGTATTGCACTGCATTGTAAAGTAAGTACGGCATGGCCGCGCGCGAGCAGCGCATCCAGGCCAATTTCCCGTGTGACAGTTTTCGGCTCCGTCGGCCAGGGCCACTGTAAGTCTGTCTGTCCGTCGCCGACAACGCACCGCCACTGTCCGCGGGACTCCGAGACAACCGAGATTTTCACAGTGCGCCCCGCCCCGCCCCGGCCAGAAATCACTCGCCGACGCCGTCGTCTCTTTTATTTCCCATCGTCCGACATTGCAATCACAGGAACTGGTCCGCGCGGTGGGCGCGCTGAGTTACAGCCCCGCTGCTTGCTAGCCGAGCCGCCGAGCCGCGAGCCATAGGCAGACACACACGCCTCGCAGTAAAAGCGCCTCCGTTTTATGGAGCGGTCAAGCGGCGGGGAGCACTGTCCAAATTTTGATTGCCACTTGATGACAATTTTCAAGGCTCCTTTTTCCTTTACAAGAGTGTCACCGAACTGGTTGATGATTTTGTTTTCGCGTCCATGCATCCATCAAGCAGGCGCCAGCCAGCCCGTAATGGTAATGGCAATGCCGGCCAGGCCAGCCCGCCGCGCGCCGCTGCTCGACGGGACTGCCTACCCTCGACTCCGCGGGCGTTCCCATTCACTCCGTCAAAAAAAACAAAGCCGGAAACCACACTGCCAAAAACTCACCTGTACACGCTCTGGTCGTAGTAGAGGAGGATCCGCAGCGGCTGGTCCGCCGCGCGCTTCCTGATGACGTGGTGGGGCTCGCCCAGGTCCACGTCCCGCACCACCTGCAGCAAGGAGAACAACGGCCTTGAGCACACGCACGGCGGCACAGTGGCCACGGAAGGGTCACCACGGATGTCACATCACAATGGCCCTGGTCACCACCACAGTCCTGGTCACCACCATGGGCCTGGTCACCACCATGGGCCTGGTCATCACCACGGCGCCGCATTAGCTTTCGCCACAGCGCCTCTGCAATCACGGCGACACCATCGCGGCCAATAAATCACCGGGCGGGCATCACCACGCCGCCATCTGCATGGTGATCCGGCACGGCCAGGCGCCGCATGGTGACCACGCCTATCGCGGCGCCATCGCGCGCCCGGCAAGGCGCGCCCAGTGTCAAGCGCTTAAGGCCGCCTCCAACGCCCTAAAGGACGAAGCAGACTGTCTCTCTCGCACTCGCGGGGCGTCCCCTGCAGGCGCGAGAGAGACGGAGCGACGACTCTCGCGGAATCGGTCCTGAGTGCAGTATCGCCATTACTATTAGGAATCGTTGCCTCAACGACCTTCCCGGTAGCCTATCACAACCCTGGAGCCGCGGGGCCGCCGGGCCGGCGAGCGCGGCCGCGGGTCACCGGCATCACGACGACGGCGTGCTGGGGCTGCGGCAGGCTGTGCTGGGCCGCGCGGAGCTTCCCGCGTCGTGACACCAATACACGGCAGGGCTGCGCCGCTCCGCCAGGCTCTGCTGGCCTATCGGCTCGCCGCCAACACGGCGCACGGCGCGCGGCCGGGGCTGGAGCCGGGGCTCATCCGAGCCAACAATTTGTATCATCGCCGGCCGGGCCGGCCCCGCCAGCCGCACCGCACCGGGATGCCCTTTGGCTTGCCGGGGCCCGGCGGTAACCTGATGCAACGGAGCCGACCGCGCCGAGCCCTCCGCAGAACCACTGCGCCAGAAAACTAGGCGGCGGTGGCCCACTAGACCAGCGGCTCTCAACCTTTCTCGGCTCGCGACCCCAAATTTGAAGCCAAAAATTTCCGCGACCCCCAGGAAAAATTTCGCGACCCCACGGGGCCCCTCCTTTAACATGCCACGGCGTCTGATCCGAGGCGGGCATTTTGCTCCCTCAACGGGCAGTTGGTCTTTGGACCTTCCTTTAGCATGCCTTTGTTACGGAGTGCAATTATCAGTCTTAGTTTGGGAGCAGTATTGTCTCAAAGTTGGCCAAAACGCTCAGAAATGTCTGTGAAAAATCGTGTTTTGGGCTGATTTTAAGCAGTCACAGCGTCTGATCTGAGGCGGGCATTTTGCTCCCTCAACGGGCAGTTGGTCTTTGGACCTTCCTTTAGCATTCCTCTGTTACGGAGTGCAATTATCAGTCTTAGTTTGGGAGCAGTATTGTCTCAAAGTTGGCCGAAACGCTCAGAAATGTCTATGAAAAATCGTGTTTTGGGCCGATTTTAAGCAGCCACAGCGTCTGATCCAAGGCGGGCATTTTGCTCCCTCGACGGGCAATTGGTCTTTGGATCTTCCTTTAGCATGCCTTTGTTACGGAGTGCGATTATCAGTCTTAGTTTGGGAGCAGTATTGTCTCAAAGTTGACCAAAATAGTCACAACGGTTTTTCAAAGACACTTGCGACCGTTTTGATCGACTTTGAGACAATACTGCTCCCAAACTAAGACTGACAATCGCACTCCGTAACAAAGGCATGCTAAAGGAAGGTCCAAAGACCAATTGCCCGTTGAGGGAGCAAAATGCCCGCCTCGGATCAGACGCAGTGGCTGCTTAAAATCGGCCCAAAACACGATTTTTCATAGACATTTCTGAGCGTTTCGGCCAACTTTGAGACAATACTGCTCCCAAACTAAGACTGATAATTGCACTCCGTAACAAAGGCATGCTAAAGGAAGGTCCAAAGACCGATTGCCCGTTGAGGAGCAAAATGCCCGCCTCGGATCAGACGCAGTGGCTGCTTAAAATCGGCCTAAAACACGACCCCAGCTACCTCGCCGCGACCCCTTAAAATTTTTTCGCGACCCCACTTGGGGTCGCGACCCTAAGGTTGAGAACCACTGCACTAGACTGACTCCGAGAGTCGTTTTCGTCGCTCTGCCTCCCTCGCGCTCACGGAGCGACCCGTCAGGGTGCGAGAGAGACAGAGCGACCACGACGACTCCGAGTCTGCTGCTGCCGGGTTGGTGCGTGGCGAGCCTGGATGAGCCCACTCACTCCCCCACCGGGCTGTAGCGATGACCCGCCTGCCTGTAACAACCTGCCGCACTCGCCGGTCTAGGACGTCTGGGCGGAAAAACAGGTTTGTTTTGGTCGTTGTTGTGATGCATGCATCATCGGCACCGAGGAGGAAGACCTAGTGACACACAAAACCCACCAAAAAAAAAGTGCGACGAAAAAAGAAAACTGTTTTTCAAACAAAAATTCTTTGGGTGTCGGTTGGAAAATAATCATTTTGCAATGTAGTTAGAGCGACGAATGGCTCGGCAGGCCGGCAGTCAGGCACTGCGAGACGGCGATGGAAGAACTCCGGCAACAAAGTTTCTATTTCTGCCACTCGGCGGCGATACTGCTTTCGATTCCATTTAAAGCTTCCCGCCGCCGCCGCGCCACGTTCGCGCGCAAATTGAAGCAACCGCGAAAAAAAAGAAAAAAAAGGAAAGAAAAGGCGGGAAAGCTTTCCCGGCGGCGGCAGCCAAGGCGGCAGCCACTCGGATGCCCCGATGGCACAATCGATGGCGCTCCAATGGCGGCGAAAAAAAGAAGGACAATTAAAGGCCGCTGCTCTCCGATCGGTGATTATGACAAAGAGGCGCAACAAGCGAAACTCGCGTCGAAACTCGCGGCGAAAACGCTTTCATGTTTTCCATCCCCTTGGCTGCGAGAGTCGCACCACTCACGCTTTGGGCGATCGTCGGCCCTTCGCTCGCTTCGCTTGGCGATAGAAAGCGCCCCAGCCAGGGCCGCCATGACGTGCCATGACGGGGCGTCCGCTTAAACTGACACGCCACTGCTTTGCTGACACTGCTAATCACCGAGTCACCGGCCGCGCAACAGACTCACTCCGAGAGTCGCTGCTGTATCTCTCGCACCGACGCGGGGCGCCCCACGAGTGCGAGAGAGACAGAGCGACGACTCTCGGAATCGGTCTGCAGGGCGGGCGGCGGCGAGGCGGCCTGCTCTTATTCAATATCGGGGCTTTCAACTGCCAACCCTCTCGGTGCTCCCAGTGCTGCCTCACCCGGCTATTTCGCCCATTCACCGCCCCGCCGCGCCCCGCCCCGCCCTTTTCTATCCATCGGCCCGGTAAAGTGGGGTATCGGTCACGAATATTCGAGCGCGGTGTCCAGTGAGACCCGCGGGCCGCGTTCGAGACACGCCGTGTCGCGCCGGCCGCCTGGAGCCTTTAGCAAAGGCACGGCACGGCGCTCCGGACGCAGCCAGCCGGGGACCCGTGGTGTAACAGGGCGCCAATTCGCTCCAGTTCCGGTGGCCGCAACACACAGACACACCAACACACCGACAAAGAGACACACCGACACGCCAACACACAGACACACCGGCGGCAGCGTGCGCCGTACCGTCGTCCGCTCCAGTGCAGGTTGAATGGACCGGCAGCGGCCCCTTGGCGACTGGACACCCTTGTCCAGCGCCACACTCCAGCGGCCACACACACACAAAGACGCATGCACACACACACACACGCAGACTGCAGCCACGTAACGCCCTTGCAGTGCCTTACAGTGACGGCGCAAAAGGCGCCGCAGGGCGGTGCGGGGGCGGCGGCCTGTCACGCTACGCGCTGCTACGCGCTCCGTCTCTCTCGCACTCACGGCGCGCCCCGTGGAGGTGCGAGAGAGACGGAGCGAGACTTCAAACGGCGCGACAACAAAGACGCGGCGAGCGTTACGGCTTCCGCGGCGGCAGTGCCATTTGGCAGTGCAGTGGCAAAGGCAAAGGCAGCGCCAAAGGCAGGGCGGGATTACACCGCCAGAGAGTCGCCTTCGTCGCTCCGTCTCTCTCGCACTCACGGGGCGGGCCGCATGGGTGCGAGAAGGACAGAGCGACGCAACATTGACGCAAAAGCAAATTTGATGCGTAGCAGACGATTTTTAGCGCTATGGCGGAGGGAGGATCACGGCGGCGAGCGACAGACAGCGCGGCACCGCCAAATGACACACATTTGGCGCGCAAAACGGCAAGGCCTCGGGCGGCGGCGACGGCGGCCCGAAACCCAGTGTACGCACGCCACTTCCCGCGCCTGGAGGCGCTCATTGCAGCCGTCTCTCTCGCACTCACGGGCCGGCCCGAGCGGCCCTGGGGGTGCGAGAGAGACAGCGCGACGCCGGCGCCGCGGATAATGGCGCCGCCACACTATCCGCCTCGCAGTGCAGTGACAGATCCCGGAGGACGACAACCACGCCCTGATTAGCCAGGCGCCCGTTTTCGCGGAGAAAGCCGTGCAGCATGCAGAGCAGCAGACTCATTCCGAGAATCGTCGCGCTGTCTCTCTCGCACTCGTGGGGCGCCCCGTAAGGGTGCGAGAGAGACAGCGACGACTGTGAGTCTGCAGTGCAGTGCCGCCGCCACGCGGCTGCTTTGCTTATGAGCGCCGATTTGAATATGATCCGCGACTCGCGGTGTAGCGACAGGAGAAAACGAAATCGGGTAACTGTTTGGTTTTTATGCTTTTTTTTTCGTACCGGCGTAGGATTCCTTCAGAGCGAGTATATTGGTAGAATCTCACGCGTTACAAGCCCAATAACATTCCACCGCCTGTGAGTGTGGGTAGGTAAGTGTGAGCCGCCCATCCTGCCAGTGTATGTGTGTGTGATGCATTCTCAGTCTTGTAGTCCGTGTGAGGTAAAAGCCCCGGGCCAGGCTCCACAGGCTGGGTGTGAATAGCCGGCCTGCCTTCACATAGCAGACGGATTCCGAGAGTCGTTCTCGTCGCCCCGTCTCTCTCGCACCCATACGGGAAGCCCCGTGAGTGCGAGAGAGACAGAGCGACGAAGACGACTCTCGTAATGGGCCTGCAGCAGCG